TACAAGGTAGATGTTTTGAATTTGTTGGTTAAATTGATATAAGCATTAGATATATCATGAATGCATGTGTTCCTCATACAGCCTGATGACCTGACAGATTTGAGACCTGAGCCTAAATGATTGAGATTGACTCATGATTACACCCAGATGTAAGTGTTTTGTGTCCATTATTAGAAAATACAATGTTGTAAATTGCGTAATTTCTACAAAGATTCAATAGATTTAATTGTTATAGGATTTTTTTGTTTGTTGTTGCTTCAGTAGTTTACATTACTGTTTGCAGGTTGCTGAATAAAACCCACATTGATATTGATCTGGATCCATATAAGTGATAATATTCGACACATGGAGGTTTGGAACAGACCCCAAGAGATGAGAGTTAAGCGATAACCTAGTGTGTGTGTTTGGTTGTTTTTCATGTAGGCCAATCGTTGGGGTGGAGGTGTTGGTGGTTTGTTTTTCGTGATGTTGCCTGTTCTGGTATTGTGTTTTTGGTGCGTAGTTGTTTGTTATTTCTCTGGTTTGATTGGTGAGGAGAGGGGACTGTTCTTTGTAATAGTTAGTGTTGGTGTTCTCTGGGGGAATTGTGTTCCTCTGGCGTACGTAGTTGTAACTCGGTCTCTATGATGTGATCGAATCGGGGCATTTCGGTTTGGAAGATTTAGAAATCTATGTTGCCAGAACTCCCTGTGGAGAATCTACATCCTTCACCGGGTCAATCAATCTGTCTGTGCGCGTTGTTATGTGGTGTATGTTCGACCCCAGAGCATTCTAAAGAACCTCGTTGTTGTAATCTGTGTTTGTATTTCTCTGTATCATGTAAGTGAGATTTCAGTAGTGCTTTTCTGTTTTTAAGCACCTTCAAGATGATTTTTTTTTTTTTTTTTTTTTTTTTTTTTTTTAGTGAGGGATTAGTTTGGCTTGTTTTGGGATGCTGCCTCCAGGTCGCATGTATTTCTGTTACCATATTCAAGTAGGTTTCTAGTTGTGTGTATGGGCTGCCTCTCGAATAAGTTACTTGTGTTTTCAAGTGCTTATATAAGCCCTCCCATTTGCCAATGTTGAAGATTCTCGTGTTGTGTTCAAATCATAGAAGGGTCTGTTGTGATGTGTGGACCAAGTTGTGCCTTGTTATTATGAGTGAAGTGTTTTTGTGGCGGTTGTAGCCAAAGAGTTGTAGCACATACAACACACATGTATATGTTTGTGTGTGTGTATGTATAATCTAAACACACCACACACGAAACACACACCCCACATATATATATTAATATTAGATAGATTACATTGCTCAAGTATACCATGTAAGGTTTTCGCCCAAAAATTCTTCTGAAACGGATCCGTGACCACCTACTGAGGCAGAGACCGAGCAATCTGGATTCACTCCTGGCAAGTCCACAATAGACTATATCCTAGTGCTTCGATTAATTGTGGAACGCCGCCGGAGTTCGGTCGTGGTTGCTTGCAGCCTACATCGATCTCAAGAAGGCATTGACTCATGCATCAGAATCGCTAATTGGGATATCCTGAGACTTTATGGAATTTTACACACGATTAATTGACCTAATAGCAATCTATATACCGGTACTGAAGTGCTGGTAAGTTTGGTTGTGCCTTCGAACTTCTTCTTCCTGGTGACGCACACTGTGTCCTTGCCCAACACTTTTCACATATCGACCTGGATAATGGGGCAAAAACTACTATCCAAGTTTAGTAATACAGCAACACTTGCATATCACAAGGTCACAGATCTTGACTTTGATGCCTTTAAGCAAATGAGGCAAAAGCCTTGGCCTAGAAGTCTCCCAGGACCAAAACCAAGATTCATGACTTTGGGGCAGTTAGAGGAAAGCCGCAGTCGATACGTGGGAGGACGTTGAAGTCACCGAGAGATTGCTACCTTGGTAGAATAGTCTATGTCTATTAGACAGATTAGCCTAGTAACATGAGCCATGACTCGATCAAGAGCATTTGGAGATGTCGGTACCTATATAATACCAAGCCACGTGTCCTTCAAGGTCTTGATACTACCGAGCTTTTGCTATGGAAGTGAAACCTGGACGCTGTCTAGTTTTTTTTTAATAAGTACATATGCTGATCATGAGGTACAGTGGGCAGGATACTGTCCAACAAAGACGGCTCAACGTGAGACTGTGCATGGGAGTCTTTTGCTTGTATCATCCGGACCGGCAACTGAATGCTATATGTCACCTAGCTTCGTTTCCCTTGGATGGACCCTGCACAGCACCTGTTGCTCTTTGCGAGTACAATTCCTGGGTGGATTAGGCTCCCGTCGGCGTTAGCCCCTTGGAGATGTGGTATGTATATATTTATATATATCTATATATCTATGTGTGTGTGTGTGTGTATAATATATATATTATTATATATAGGTATACAATATATATAATATATGTAGTTCACACATGCACACACATATATAAATGTGTGTACATATAAATATATACATATAACAGAGATACATGCATACCCATACACACATATACAATTATGTAACGTATGGTATATATATAGTATGTTTGTGTATAGATATCTATATTTCATATTTAATGTATATATTACCTTATGTATGTGTATGTTGCATTATCACATTATTCAAATATCCGTAATTAGGATCCTGCCACTGTGTCGTGGAGATTTACATCAGGTTTCAACACCGTCTGGCGCTGTGCTAATAAAGAGCAGTGAATTGTACAAAGACTAAACAGTAAAACAGTGAAAGAACTAGATTTTTACTGAATGGGTTTGTGGTATGCCGTGAAGATTATTAATAAACTTTGACGAAAAGATCCTGCCTTCAAGAATAATGGTGTGGTGCATATATAGTTGATAGATAGATAGAGATGTTACTAACATGAATACATACACATTTATAATACATATATGCGACTCTTTGCGGCGAGAATGAAAGCCATGAAAATTAATTTCCATTCAGTCATCCTCTTCTTATTTATCTCATATTGATCTGCACGTTCTTGTTCTTTTTTCAGATAAAGAAATACTCCAAGGAAACCGTTTGATGCGCAGATAAAGCGTTCATCATCTCCGGCGCAGAATCAGCTGCTTCTCGCCCACGCAGGACACAGGGCAGGGCAAGCGGAGGCCGAATGGTCCTGGATAATCAGGAGGCTGGCAGCCCCGCAGCGGACCCCCCGCGCCCCTACCAGCTCACAGGCACACGGTGATGGCTTTCCGTACCAAGTGGCTATGATCACCAGGGGCCGCGAGGTATTTGTGCAGGTGGTTGAGTGGCTGTACTCAAGGGGGGCCGTGTGTCAAGAGGCATTTCCTTAGTTGGGAAACGCGAGAACAGACTACAAGCGGAGTTTAACAGCGAACAGAGAAATCTGCTAGAGAACGGTGCCCCGTTAAGCAGTAACGGACATCTCCCTGCTCTGATATCATTCTCCAACTCATGTTGGACTGGCTGGCTCCAATGCCCTGCCTGGACCTCCCCCCCGGGCAGTCAGCCTCTAGAGCAACGCCTGTTATAAGGTTAAGCAGAAGAGGAACAACATAGACACCGAATGATGTGTCAGCAGATGTTCGGACAACGGCTGACGAAGGAATTGAGGAAGCTCGGCTGCTTATTCTCCAGGATCCTTCGACTGGCCGGACCGACGCGGGATCCGACCCACGTCTTTCGGACGAGATCTGGTAAATCAGCAGGATTTTTCGGACCTCTGCGAAAGTCAGAGAGCCCCTCCAGCACTGACCTTGACAAACCGCCGCAACTACTAACAGCAAGAGATTAAACAGTTAGGATATACGTTCGGCAGAACGTGGAGCTAGGAGAGTCGCGAGAGTTGTTTGAGTTCTACACCCTCAGCTGTGGGACGTGGACTCCTCGCTCAGTGGCCCTGTTCCTGATCTGAAAATCCACCTAGTCTAAATTCAAACCAACCTGTAATCGCGGAAGACGACGTCCCGCTCGTCACCATCTCCGGAGCAGAAGTATCATCCTTGCAACATTCCCATGAGAATCTGCTGCAGTTAAGCAGCGAAATGGTCGCCTGCCTGAAGTGATCATAATATCAGGCGAAGGAGGAATAGGGAAGACCACGCTGCTTGAAGGCACATGCTGGAGATGTGGGTGAGAGATTCCTTTTGCAAATTGGGGCTTCAAGACGTTTCACTGTTGCTATACTTACAGCTGCGAGGCTGCACAAATCAGCAGTTGGATGACCTGCTGAGCATCTTCCTTCATAACACATTTCAGATCTGGACTTACCACTATAGCTTTGTAGATTTATTCCAGACAATGCAAATTGTTATCCTGTTAGACGGTTATGACTAAGTGAGCAAGACGCTAAGAAATTGATACCGTCTTCTGAAATTCGTTGGCAACGTCGCATGGTGTAACCACGAGACCCCGCTTGCAAAAAAGATACTCATATCATGATGTGGCAAACGAATGTAATGAATGTTGAAATCAAAGGAAACGCAGAGAAGACCGACCTTACTTTATTGGAAACAGTCTGGGTCGTTTGTACAGTGTCCCGTTCGTAAGACCAACTTGAAGATAAAATAGTGACAATTCTTGAAAACATGGACTTTGCGAAGGATGGTTTTGATGTCCCACTCACTCTGATCCTACTGTCATCCGAGAGGTCGTGGCACCAGACAGACTTCACGGACGTCTTCGAAGATTTGACAAGCTCATGATAGGCAAGCTGAAGAAAGAGTTGATAGTGAAAGGCATTGTAAATGTTAATGATAAAGTTAAGGAGTATCATGATTTCAAAAGAAAGTGGCTCTCAAGGCCTGAAGAGACAAGAACAACGCCTTATGGGCCAAACAGTAGATGATTTAAAGGAAAGTTGCTCTATATGAACCTTACCTTTACAAGGTGCTTTCTGGCTTTCTTGTGTCTAATCATCGCGAGAAGGTCTTTTAATAATTTCTCTTCTTGGTCCTTCCCACACAACCGAATTCCAAGAACACTGGGCGCGGGTTATGTAGTTACACAAGCATTAATGATGTCCCGTTCTCTGCCAGACTTGACAGGACTGCTGGATTCGCCCTGTCTACCCGATTTGAATAATAAAGCATACTTAGGGCATTTCAGCCATATAAATAATATACAATTAGACTTTCCTGAAAATCCCATTCTTGAAATCTATTCAGAAGATGCCAATGAGGCAAGGCAACTGGCATATTCGGCGACAACAAAACCAAAGTCGGATGTATTAATGGAAGTCCTCGCTGACATGACACGCACATTATCCTTGTCACAGCAAAACTTTCTGGATAAAGTCGCCACAGCCATCATCAGCCTCGTCTTATACGGTAACAATAATTATATAGAGACTGCAAATAATTGCCAGAGATATTACCAAATGGTCATGGCATCAGGACAGCATGCAGGTATAGTGAAGGAAAGTGCTAGAGTACTGAGCGAAGTTGAACGCCTTGACGTTAAGGAAACCTCTCTGCACGGTTTGTTACCCATACTGGACCACCTCAAGACTCGCTGTGTGCGCGTTCATGCCCTCCGTGACACGCCGAAACTCCCGTCAAGTAAGGTCCTGTCTGCGATGAGAGATTTGGCCAGAAAGGACGTCGAGATAGAGCTGAAGTGTTTATTGAAGCAATCTGCAGAGTTTTCTGAGTTGTGCCTTGAGGCGGCCACAGATCCAGGAAGTCGTTCCCGACTGACGAGGTTCGAAGGTTTCTTGTCAGAAAAGGGTATGCAGCTTCTGCCGGAGAGCCTGGAGGAGCTCATAACCAGGTCTGACGCAGAAAGCGTGCGCGCTCTGCAGGCGAGGCTCCCATACCTGCCGAATCTTAAGACTCTAGGTACGGTATTTTAGAATGACACTGATAATAACATGACAGTAATAAAGTATGTAGAAATGATAATGAGTAATAACGATAGCAATAGCAACAAATCAGTAATAATGATGAGGGTAATGTCAACAACGTCGGAATACAGATCATGATTATAATGATAACAAGATGCAGTGTAAATGGCAGATTTCGGTGGGCGCTTGACAGCAGCTGAGATGCCCCTCCTTCCCACTATGCTTGAGGAACTGAGGGTCACGACCGACGGGGAGGGACTGAAGGCGCTGGCGAGGAGGCTCCCGCGTCTGAAAAAGCTGCGGTTTCTCTGTAAGACCTGCGGTGCATGAGTGATAGGCAGGACGAGATAATGAGATTACGATAAAATCCTGATTATAATAGTTACTATAATAATCCTGATTATAATAGTAACAAGGATGCCTATTATATATATATATATATATATATATATATATATATATATATATATATATATATATATACACATATATCAGCGTCATTTCAGCTTTCGTTTGGGAGGGATTTTTTTCTTTTTTTGGGGGGGGGCGATGAATGATACTCAATTAACTGTAAAGAAAATCCCATTGGATTAATGATAACTCTATATGGACTAAATGTTATGGTGTATTTTAAATCTCTATATATAACATTTTTCTGGTATTTACGGATAATATATATAAATTTATTCATATTCATAAGAGTGAGTACCGCGGTACTGGTGCTATTGATGCATTCATAATACAAACGTGTTTAGAAGCAAGCATCTGCCCTTGAACCTTGTGGTTAAGAGGTAAATCTAATATTACTGCTTATAAATGTACAGTATTAAGATATATAGAGGTCGATGATAACCAGGTGCTTCAATTGGGGGTGACACTTGCTTTGCCAGTCTATTCTGCTCTTTATGTTTCTGTAATCAAAAAGTAGTTGGGGTGTGGCCCTTGAGGGGGGGGGGGGGGGGGGGACAGAGTCTTGGCAGGCAATTGCCCCCTCCCCCCCCCCAATTGACGCCCCTAATATGTATACACATATATATGATACTGCTGTTGGTAGCATCGTAACGAGAACAGTACCAGTGATAAAGCAATATTTCCACAGGTTTCGAGGGCCGCCTGACAGAGGCAGAGATGCCCTTTCTCCCCAGCGGTGTCAGGATGGCGTGGGTCGAGACGGACGGGCAAGGCCTAAGGGCTCTGGCGAGGAGGCTTCCGCAGCTGAAGCTCCTCTATGATCTAGGTAACGGGCATTGCTTATGTGAAACCGGTGTGAAGGTAATCGTAATGAAGTTGATATCACACATATGATCAACATATAACTTATATGTGATGAGGACTCCTACTTGTGGAGAAGGCAATGGTCTTCAGAAGCCGGCTTTAGCTTTATCTAGTACGTACTGGACGTGTTAAGTGGTATGAAATATAACTTTAGGATTGAAAGAATTTCTGACAGGCCTTTTGTTGATTTGCTAGACATACGGCTGCTGGAGTGTCCTTCGGCTTCCTCCCTATCCCCCCTTCCCTACGAGGGCTCCAACCTGACGCTGGACCTACAGGGCCTGTCGCCCCTGCCTCGCCCTTGGGTGTGCGACGCCGTGTGTGCGCTCTGCTCCGCGCGCAGACGCAGCACGCGGCTCCTCCTCCCCCCCGCCTGCGGTGCGTTGGTCTGTGTGTGGCTTGTGCTTGGATAAGGGGAATGGTAGTTATGGCTCTCTCTCTCTTTTTCTGAATATGCAAATTAACGTCTCTTATCCCTGGGCAGACGATGCGTTGGTGGAGAGCATCAAGCAGGAGCTCGAAGGCCGCGGCGCTAGGTTCCCTCCGCTCGCCAAGGGGATCAAGTTCCACTTCGAGGACGAGGCAGAGGCACAGCAGCCCCTCGAGCTCCCTCCCGCGCGGGCGCCGCCCCTCCCGCGGCGCTGGCTGTACTGGGCTCTCGTCGTCGGTGTCGTTTTGGTGGCTTGGCTGATAGCTGTGCCGTTTCCATGAGTATTAGGACACACGCACACACAATACTGTTAGCCAGAGTGCCCAGCTGCCTTCGTTTGAAATGATATTTGCCTGTATCTCAGCTGAAAAAATACATGTATATATTGACTAGTTTTCATCTCCCCA